CTGTGATTCTATAGGACAGGTCAGTTCTCGTATGATCAGTCTGCAGAAACATATTCAGTGGGCCCCTCCAAAATTTAGGGTTCCTTTGGTTTTAAACATACTACCCAGGAGAACCCTTAACACCTTTCCTGTACATTAAAGATCTGCTGCTGACTCAAAGTTGATGAATAGATAAAGTTTGGAAAGATCAAAACACACATCTCTTCTATAACAGAAGAAACTGGAGTAGCAAGAAGTAAATGCAAAACTGGAATAAAACGAAATTTGTTTCTTGAAAATAGTTACGAAGTTCTGCCGGAAGGAGCAGAACATTTCCTGTTGAAATGATTCCTCTGTAAAGAATTTTTCTCCTGGTATTTGTTTCCTCTTGCTTTCTCCTCTTTCCACATCCTCCTATGGGACTATGGGACCTGATGACATCCAGTTACAGCCCGTACAGAGACAGAGGATGGGATTCCCAATGCTGTGTTGTAGGGACATAAGGTGAAAATATAGGAAACTGCTTTTATTCTTGAGAGAATCTGGTTTATCTGGGCATCTCTTTAGTGTGGTGCCTGGGAGTCCAGGAGACGCCTGTCCAAAGGCAAATGCATAACTATTTCCTTTATAGGTCCACCAGGCCACAGGTTTTACAAGCACAACCAAGACATATGGTTTACACAACTTTTCCCATGCAGAGGCATGTAAAGAGAATAATACAAAGAGGCCAGAGCATTTATCGTGATCAGCTGAAATCCCCCCCCCGCCCTGAAATGTAGCATTGCTACAATTATCAGCTGCCATAACTATTTTTTTAGCAATGTAGAACCTGACATGTAGAGTATGAATTAGTCTGTTACTTCGAGAAGGACAGCATACAGGTGACATGGAGAAGAAAGACAAGTAAGGCTTTTAAAGGGGAAAAAAAAATTAAATTTTACGTGGTACTTTTTCATTCTTCCAAACAACCCCAAGCACAGTGTCACTGTCCAAACAGCAAGACAGACTGTCTTCCCTCCATGGTGCCAAAGGACATGGTTAAAAGCAAAATTAAAAGCAGTCTCAAGATTTTTTTTTTATTTTTTTTTTTAATCACGTGCCAAGTATGACACCAGCCTTGTGCACAGGAAGCATCTGGACACACTGGAAAGAATTTCCTGACTTGCTGCAAATGACAAGCTCAACTAACAGCTACTTTACACCAGCTACAGAAGAGCAAATTGCTCCCATGCTACTTCTCTTAGGAAAAAAGGGGGGGGAAATACCTCAGTATTCTACCTAAATAACCCCAAACAAACAAAGCCCCAAAAGCTAGTAAAATGGATTCAGAAGCTTTTTGGTTTGTTTTGTAAACAAGAACTTCTATAATACCAGGATTTAGCCTGAACTGATCAGCTATGAGAAACTTGGAAAGCAAAACATAAAAGAATGTCGAAGGAGTAAGATAATCTATTTATCTTCCAAAATATAACTCCGAAAAGGTTATTGAGCAAAAACAAACAAAAGGCCAGGTAAAGGAAGCATGTTACTAGCTTGAGGCAAAACCCATGCAATTTAATCTTTAATAAGCTTTCCCTACAATGCAAAATCTATTTGTCTAAATTTCTCTTAAATGACACTGGCTTTGAAGAATAAATCTATAGCAAGTAGATGATTAAAAAGGCCTCAATATTCTCAGTATTCAGGACCTTAACTTCTTTAGCAATACCAACAATATCTGACTATAAAAGATTATTTCCTCTCCCCCCCCCTTATGCCCAGATTTTCATTAGTTTTTCACAAAATATTTTTATTACCCTCAGTCCTTCCCATGTAAGTTGAAATAGAAGAAGTAGCAAATAGCAGCTGTTAGAGCAGTTACACAAGGGCCTGTCTGAATCCTCTTAAGAGTGGAAAAAAGTAAGAAGGAGATGAGAGGCTCAGTGGGAAACACAAGTAGACAGAGGTGCCTGAAAACAACTGGCAAGATTTAGGAAACAAATATGGATAGTAATGATCCATAAAAAATGTGATCATAACCATTTCAAGATACAAAGAAGGAGAGAAGTGCAAAAATTAGCCTTATAGTGCTGGGTTAAGGGTTGTACTCGATGATCCTAGAGGTCTTTTCCAAACTTAAAGATTCTATGATTCTAATTAAAAGCTTCCTTTCTTGGTCTGGGAAAGGATTCTGTAAAAATTGAAATACATATTGTGGTTGTTTTTGCCAGGCTTAGGCCCCAGCTCACAGAGTAAGTGCTATTCAGTGGGGAATTAGTGAGCCAATAGAGGCCACAGAGTAGAAGACGCTGTGAAATGGTGTATTCATTTGCTAAGTGAGTAGCTGATGATCAGAAATACAATTACTCTCCCTGACATAACTGTGGATGGTACCACCATCTATACTTTTATGTAATAGCTTCTGGATTCCTATTAAACTTTGCTCCTTGTGATTTCTGCAGAATGAGTTTCACAGGTTATACATAATGTAAAAAAAAGGGAAAAAAATAATTCCTTTCAGCAGGCTTATTAATCACTGACCTTCCACTCTGCTGAGAGACCCCCACTCTTGAACAAAAAAGCAAGGGTGAGCACAACAGTCTCATTCATTTCCTCTGACACACAGCATAGGAAACAGAATAAATGTTGACTAAAGTCACCTTCAGAGAATTTTAAACCATTTAATGATGCCATGAAAAGCTCAAATATGCACCCCTGTGATACTCCTTCAAGGAAAATCTCCATGAATTCCCTCTTTGTTTCCCTATTCAGCTGTACAAGCCAAGCTGATTTGTGAATGGTTGAAGTTCTGGGCAAGTGCACATTTTCTCCCCGTCTCACAGGCTCAAGGAAAGTGCATGTGCACAGGTCACGGTGTTTCAAAGGTCCTACACAAAAAGTCCCTGCCCTCCTTCAGAGCTGTGCCATGTTCCTGACTCCTGCTACCCAACACTGAAGAGATCTCCCAGAGCAGACAAGACCACAGAGCAGGTTTGTGGTCTTACGGGAAACAACAGCAATTGCAACAGAGATGAAGGAGAAAACAGCTCTTCTAGGCCACCCAAGAAAGGCACAAAGAGAACAAACAGGGATGTTCTTCAGGAAATACCACTGTCCTGCAAGAAGTGCTTTGTTTATCACAAATGGCCTCCCATGCCTCTGCTTGAGAAACAAAACAAAGAAAAAAAAACACACAAGAAAAACCCCTGACACTGAAGTCTGACTTCAAAACTTACTCTGTAAAACTGGAAAAATATATTAAATTTCAATGTATGTACAATTGTGGTGATTTGAAGAACACTTTCCTTATTGCTCTGTTTTTCATGATTTATCTACACTTCACTACTTAAACAGATACTTTTTAACAAATCTCTGTATTCAAAAAAGGCTCTAATCTCTTTATATTACTGAAAAAGGCATTAAAAAATTAAGGTGTTTAAAGGGTTTCTTGAGTGAACTGAAGGAAAATAATTTTAAGAAAATAAAGTTTTACTTCAGCTTCTTTTTCATTTTTTTTTTTTTTTACTGACACATACTTTTCATATGTTTAAATTTCCTCTCTGCAAACAGGGTGAAGCTGTATTTCCTCCAGGTGATCATGACTTTCAAGTGACAGCACAAAACCAAACATACCTGGAATAAAAATGTTAAAAAATCTCCACCCTGTCTTGCAGCTTCGTCCCCATTTTCTCCCAAACCCCATGTCTGCTCCCCACCATCTGCCCTAATAAGCTTCTGACATATCTCCTCCCAATGTTTCTGTCAACAAGCTCAGCTGCAAAATAACTAAAACAGCTGCTCAAATTTCACTGGCACCACACCGCAGAGACAAGACTGCCACAAATTGCCTAGCACATCTAATTCACCAGCCCTGCTCAGTGCACCTTCTGCCCTCAAAGACTGATGTTGTTCCACAGAGCCTTACAGTTCTGATATTTTCCTGTCCTTCATTTTACATCGCACTGTTCACCCATTCCCTGTGGAGATCGATCCAGTTTCCCCTGAATGCTGTGTGTGTTTCCACTTAGAAGATGCTCTCTGCACCATTCTTTCAAAACATGTAGGAGATCAGAAAAACAAAACCCATTAAGACTACTACACTGACCTTCCAGCATGTTGACGATAGTCTGCAGAGAAAACACCTTATCTAAGCAGGACTGGGATTTACCTGGCTGGGGAACAGTTCTGTGGAAAGATACCTGGGGGTCCTAGTGGACAACAAGCTCAGTATGAGTGAACTGCAGCAAAGAAAGCCAACAGGACGCTGGGCTGCATCAACAAGGGAAACACTAGCAGAGATAATGAAGTCATTTTCCCACTCTAGTCAGTGCTTGTCAGGCCATACCTGGAATATTATGTTCAGTTTTGGTTCCTGCTACACAAAACAGATGTAGACAGACTGGAGAAGGTTCAGAGAAAAGCCACAAAAATTATCAAATATGGAGACTCTCTTTTCACAAGAAATCACAGGGAAAAGACAAGGGATAATGGGTACCAGGTACTCCCGGGGAGATTTCGATTAGACACAGAAGGAGAAGTTTTCACAATGAGAACCATCAGCTATTAGAATAATCTCCCCAGGGAAGTGGTGAGTTCCCCAATGTTGGACACTTTTAACAGTTTAAATGAACAACGTGCTAGGCCATCTTGTCCAGCCCATGCTTTTGCCAAGAAATATGTGAACAGATGATCTTTGATGTTCCTTCCAACTGGCATTCTATGATTTAAAAGAACAAAAACCATCAAAAAATCCTTCCCTCTCTCTATAAATATATATATATATTTATTGTAGAATTTACTGCAATATATGTAAAAATTTATAATGTATATACAATAATGCTTATCACTATAAAGTACTATCCAGGACAGAATATTGCTTTTCCATATGGGGTACATATTACATTCTGGAAAGAGCAGTTGCACACACCTAAGCCTCTGGTTCAGGGAATCTGAATTTTCATAATCAGGGAATTTTCATAATCCTCAGAGGTTTCAAAGCACACAGTAAATAGCACAATTCAAGTTATGATGGTGCCAAATACCTGTTTGCCTTCCCACAAATGAGCCAAGCAGTTGTCTTGCACTGGTGAGATTGTCCCATCAAAGGAACAAGTTTTGAAGTTTTAAAGCATCCTTCACTCCTGTCTCCAATGTAACCTCCACTTCAAAAACAATTCACATGTTTTTACTAATCAACTGACAAACTGAAGGTATACAGATGATTTTTTTGGACTGACACCAAATCTACTATACAGTACATTATTCAGATGAAGCTATAAAAGACTTTCAACATGACTGTACCAACAAAAAAGAGTGTAGACGCCAAATATTTCTCAGACCAATTTAATAGACTTTAAAAGTATTTTGTAATAAAACCCATCTTCTCACTTCCTACTTCACTTAGTAGAAGATACCATGCAGTCTCTGATGTGCATATCAGTATTACATGAGAGTAGACAATGAAATCAAAATAGGTCTAAAAGCAGCATAAACATAAGACCCATATCAAGTAATAAGTTACAGATAACTTCCAGGTTTGTTGTTAAATGATGATACCTATCCCCACAATACAGTATGATTAAAACCACGTTTCAGTTCTCTTCATCTCTACCTCCAAACTCACTTGTTCCAGTCTATAAATGGCCAGCTCTAACCCTATTTAAGTATTAAGCCTGAAGGAACTTAATTCCTTATATTACTATCCCTCCTTTACACCTTTTTATTACCATGTAGCATATGAATCTGTTCAGTGTTGTGTGCGCTACTTATCCTATAAACAAGTTGCCTGTCACACGCAGACTCACAAATACTGGGTCCACGCCTTTGCCTGTCCTCTTTTCTGGGATAAAACAGAATCATAGAATAGTTTGGGTTGGAACAGACCATAAAGGTCACCTCGTTCCAAACCCGTTGCCATGAGCAGGTACATGACCTGTTTTTCAGCTGCATGAGAAGGCACTTTACTGTTATGGGAACCTCTGAACTTCCTCTCAGATGCTGGAGTGACCAAGGGCTTATGTAAGATCTTCAGAGATTAGATTATTAATGATGCTTATGATTTTGCATGAACTGGGTCACTAGGGATTAAAAATGTTAGAACAGAATAGAAGAAATAAAACTAAACACCTTTCTTGTCTAGTTTTTCCCCTTTCATTTCTTCTTATTCAGCTAAACATGTGCAGGTTTGTACAGCCTGGACACCAGCTTCTTATCATGCTCAAATGCTGGGGATAGAAACACTTAACTAGGAACACTTTTACTGCAATCTTGTTAATCCTCTCTTCGAGCCAGATATCATTCAAAGTTTTTAATTTGGTTTTTGACCCATGGGATCTGCAAGTGTTGACAAGTCAAAATCTTTTTAGAGATTTTCTATGTCATCCTCAGAATGACTGTTTCACAATATTTTTCCCCATTTCAGCCCCATGACAGAAATCAACCTTCACTTCCAGCAGTTCATAATGCAAAAATGAGTGGGTAAAACTGAATTAGGCCTACACTTCACAAAGATAATTTCCCCATGCTCACAACACTCAGTGTACTGACATGTCTCAAAGAGTAGTAAGAAAGATTTTTGATTATGCCATCCAGGCATATGACAGATGTCAAAAATCTTGATGGGAAAAGACAGCTATGTGTAAATTAGAGAGACTTTTAATACCAATTTTATTTTAGTGTAAGCTAATTCATTGGCCAGGCTTTATCAAGAGGCAGTCTTGCCATTCGATCCACAAAAGTAAAGAATAAATAATATTCTTCAAGTGCAAACTTCCCAAACAGTGTGTATTATTTGATAAGGTCTCAATTCCTATATTCTTTTCAGGTGTTATATGATTTCATATTTCTTTAATATATTCACCTGCTCTCTTTAGTGTGCATTCCTCTCTTATTCACAATTATAAAACCAAGACCATCAGATTTTTAGCAGATTTACGTCTGTGAAAAATCCCCAAACCGAACAATTTCCTACAAAACTGAGGGAACATCAAGTACAAGAGAGGACAGACTCTCCTGCACAACCCAGAGCAGAACAGGTACAGAACGGGAACAGAACAGCGACAGCTGCTTGTAACTCTCTCCTCTCTACAAATGTAGTCTAAGTGCTCCCAGTCAGCTTCAAGACACTATAGAGGTCTGACAGTTTGTGCAAAGCCTGTGATACACAGAAGGGAATTTGGCACGGCAGGTATGACGTGAGAGAATGGTGCGTCAAGAGCTCAAGGATTTCATTGCACATACATAGGTGAGCATTTGCTTCTAGTTAAATACTTCTCACTTCCTCCAAGAAAGAGGCATTTTAAATTTCTTTCTCAATATCATTTTGACATAATCTGTAACTGCCAGTGGTACAAGTACCAGATTTCAGAAACTCCTAAGTCTGCCCCTGAGGTAATGGTATAAGCATACCTAAATCACATGAGGTACTGCTGTGCTGTGCATTACAAGTCAGAAGTGTGAGGATTTGCCTTATCTCAAGTACAAAAACAGAATCCCAGGAACTAATCTGATCCCTCTATCAACAAAACCTTTAAAGGAAGATTATCTCTCCCACAGAGACTGGCTGTCCTTCAGTAAGTCTGTTCTCTGCTGGGTGTTTCTACAAAACTGCTGTTGGTAGCTGAACAAGCTATTCCCAGAGGTACTACTGCACTTCCCAACCAGCCATGAAGAATGAAGCGCTCCTGTTTCCAAGTCATCTGCACAGCTGAGAAAAAAAAAAAAAAAAAAGATGAATTCAAGTTCTCATTTCCTTGTCTGATCAAAAATATCTGATGATCTGTGAAATGCAGCAAACTGTCCCCTCCCTACTATTTTCAAATGAATTTCATCCTGCACTTGCAAGATGCTAGCTGGGACTTGAATTGTCAGCATTTCACAACAGCAGAGGAGGGAAAAAAAAAGTCTTAACCACACGTGAACTTATATGTGCACTTACAAAAACCTGTTTTCCTGAGATTTCAATGCAATCCACCAAATTAAAAAGGTCAGATAACCACCTGAAATTTCTTATACTTATCTGATCAAGGTCTCCAGACTCCTGCCACCCACCACTAATTTTGTCATCAAATTGATTCAAATAAAGCAGTGACTTATTTGATCTATTGGTTTTTCAGAGGCCTATCAAAGTTATTTCTTGATTGCAAAACAGGTATACATGATAGCTGATAAACATTTCAGAGTGCTGATTTACTGGTTCACTGCTGTCTGAAAACATGGCACAACATCTTCTCTCACAAACTTTTGGAGAGCAACTATTATTTATGAACTACTATTGCACTCCTTTGTAAGTGAAAAAGAGATAAGCAATTAGTTCAGCTGACTGTGCTTAAATCTAAATCAAGCGCAGCCATTGGAGCCAGTCCATTGTAGCCATACAGAAATGGTTTGGGGCAAATGAATTCACTTCTGACAAATATATCCCTTTTCGCTTTTATCCATAGATGTACCAGAAAAACTTTCAGTTACTCTATTAAATACTATCAAACACTGTTTCACCTGAACTACTAAATCCCTTTCTAGTGACAGAATTCACTGCTCCTCCCAGGTCCTTCCTTTGCTCATTCCATATAATAATAAGGCTTAGTATTACGGAAAGGGGAAAAAAAATAACCTCGCATATTCTTTCCAAGTGATTCTCATAAGGTCCCACTATACCAGAGAAATGTACACATGTGAAGAAAACAACAAAATTAACCTTAGAGGGTAGTCTAGATCTATATTTCCACATTCACACACAGACACTTAGACAGGCTTTCTTAAGGAAAGATACAGCATCATTTTCCAATTACAGTGCAATCAATCATTTGAAGCATTTGTTTCATCAGATGCTTATCTGTCTCAAATGACAAGAACATGCTGCTTATTACTTTCTCCAAGTAACATATCCCAGCAGTAGGGGAATGAAATATGTAGTGCAGAATTATACTTTCCCATCCATGTACAAGTCTTACCACAGTTTCCTGACTTTCTTGATATATTTAAGAACATATTTTCTAAGTTCACTGCTAAGTGTTTGACAGGAATGAATAAAGGCTACTATTTGGACAAATCTGTCATAATTATTTCTAGCTGCTAATGCATTCTGCTAAATATTCCTATAGTACTGCCAGTGAAAACACTAATGAAATACCCAAAGTGGGCATCATTATCACTCACATTTCACAGTGATGCTATATGAGTATGCAGGAGAGCAGACACTGCCCTCTTAAAAATCTTCCTCTCCCATCCTTTATGGGATTCCTGTACTTACGCATCAGCTGATAAAATCAACTTTTAATCATCTGCATTGGACTACACAGGCACAGAACAGTACATTTTGAGCCTGTGTATTTGGCAACACATCCTAAAATTTAGCAACAGCCAAGGCTTTGATTCATAAACTGTAAGATCACAAATGACCACATAGATCTTTTCAGCTTTTACTCCAATATCTCATCTCATGTTTAATGTGCACATTAAATAATTCAAAGAATATATCTTGCCCACTTCCCTTGGAAAAGCAGACAATGGCCAACAACCAAGATGACTTAAAATATTGATGCTGCGTACACTAGTATTTTCAGCCCTTACTATTGGGATTGTCAGTACCTCCATAATCCAGAATTTTATAATTTATTGATAAGTACTCAGTAAATATATATGAAGAATAGTAAGTATATAGAGATGCTGGTTTTTTCCCCTCAAATGAAATACTTCAGGCTGGACTGAGTGATTCTGTAATAGAGCAAAAAGACACTTTCTATGCATAAATGATTTCACTTTTCTGCATGTATTTTACTAATAGGAAGAATCTCCCTATATAACGGAACACAGACTTTTTCCTAAGGAAAACCAGCATATGCACTATTTTTGAGTCATGTAAAAAATAACAGAGCAGACGAATGGTTCAACAAGAAGACACTTTGTCTGGTAGAGAATGGACCAGACAGTGTAATAAGTTAAATCTGCTTACCATCTTAAGAATTCTCCAATTATGGGTGCATGTTTGGACCTTGCCCACAGTGTTTACACAACCCCTCCAACTAACATCCTGAACCACAGCCAATATTCACTAGAAGCATAAACAACTGTGAAAAATATATAGGAAAACTCTGTTAAGTTTGTAGCCCACAAGTGACTACAGTGGGAGTTGATGGAACCTTTGCAATAAAAATAGTG